TCTTCTTTGTAGCACAGGTGAGAAGCTAGAAAGAACATACCCTGGAATTTCTTTCTCCTGGGGGTTGGGAGGCAAAATGGAAGCAGTGATTATTCTCCAGGTGCAGTGGCAGATATGCATATGGGCACGCTATGGATGGAGATCAGAGCAGGCAGAGCTGCTTCTGGGATCCCCCCACATGGGAGCTGGAGCAGTTTATTGGAAATTACTGCTTCAAAATTCTTCTTGGATTCCTTCAAGCATAGCTGTGTCTTTCTGAGCACTTTGTTTCTCTCCTGACAGTTTCCTCCCCACGGAGTCGCAGGGAATTCTAGAAGGCTCTGGAATTTGTAATCAGCTCTTGGTAATCATCTGTTTTGAGCTACAAACTGAGATTTTTGGTCTTAGCTTCCTAATGTTGTTCCCCTCCACCTTCCAGTAGATGTTTAAGACTCTAATTCCCTAGGATCTAATTCTTCATACTTAACATACAAAGAGTTGTTTCTGTTTCCATACTGATGATTTTTGTTTTGCATCTTTTTTAAGTGAAAAAAATATTTTTATTTTGAAATACTTGGAAATATAAGTGTATAAAAACTTCACACAAACTAACCAGAGAAGAGATAACTATAAACTTTAGGTTTGTTTCTAAAATATTTGCCCACACTGTATGTATATATATTTTCCCCCCAAAACCAGAATCATGTAGATTTTGGAGTATGTTATCACTTTCTTTTCATTTCATTAGTTATTTCTCAAAATATGAATTTACCTGCTGCCAAAGATATGGTTATAACATAATATATTTAGCCAATTGGCTTCTTATTTGACATTTACATGGATTTCAGTGTTTCACTATTAGCAATAATATTCCTTTTGAAAAATATTTTTTAGTTGTGGATGAACAAAATAACTTTATTTTGTTTATTTATTTTTTATGTGGTGCTTTGGATCGAACCCAGTGCCTCACACGTGCAAGGCAAGCGTTTCACCACTGAGCCACAATCCCAGCCCCTGTGATAAATATTCTTTTACATGAATACCTGGAAACATCTTGTTTCTTTAAGATAAAAGCCCAAAAGTGGCATTACCAATTGGGTTAATGGTATGAGCATTTTCAATGCTTTTGATGCATCTGTTCAGTGATTCCTTAAATGAATTGTTCCAATTTATACCCCACACATTTCAACAAAGCTTAGCCCAAATGGATTATGGGTAGACTGACCCAGGACAAACCTGTTTACCTGGGTATGGATGATAGCTTCCTATTGTAGATGACGTTAGGTCAAGTCCACAATGAGGTAGAGAAATGAAGGTGAGACTAGAGGACACTTTAATAAGCTCATACCCTTCTGACTCTCATGCACCACTATTCTAGATTAAGCTTTTCCATCTCAACTTGACTTTTTCCTCCCATTAGATGAGTTCTCTACCATGAAGTATTGAGTTCCTAAAGCTAATCATCTGTTAGAAATCCTACCTTGGGGCTGGGGATGTGGCTCAAGCGGTAGCGCGTCCATCTGGCATGCGTGCGGCCCGGGTTCGATCCTCAGCACCACATACCAACAAAGATGTTGTATCTGCCAAATACTAAAAAATAAATATTAAAAATTCTCTCTCTCCCTCTCACTGTCTCTCACTCTCTCTTTAAAAAAAAAAAATGATCTCTCATTTTAATTTGCATTTCCTCATTTATCAAGGTTGAGTATGTTTTCATGTTTCTCAGCTTTTGCTGTTTTTTTTTTTTTTGTAAATAGCTTGTTCATGTCCTTGTTCATCATTTGTTTTCTGTTGGATTGTTTCATTGCCAGTACAGTTTGGCTGATTTTTAGAAAATAAAAAAATATTTTTGTATATTAAGTCTTTGTATTTTAGTGTATTACATGTTACTTTTTAACTTTGTTGTACAGAAGTTTTACTTTTGGGACTACTTGGTTTTTACTAGTTTTTGTTGTTTTACAACATCATCTTTTTAAAAAGACCTTCCTTAACTCAAGGTGTGTATATTAAATATAATTTGCACATACACTAGCTGGGTACATTGATACATGCCTGTAATCCAAGTGACTCAGGAGGCTGAGGCAGATGGATTGCAAGTTCAAGAATAGCATCAGCAACTTAGTGAGATCCTGTCTCAAAATGAATAAAAAGGACTGAGGATGTATCTCAGGGGTAAGAAGCTTTCTTTCTCCAGTGCCAAAAAAAAGAAAAAAAAATGTTTATACCCACACTTGTAACCCAATTGCCATATACACACTACCCTAATGCTTTTTTCTTTTTTTAAAAGCAGTGCTGGGGATTGAATTCAGGGCCTTGCTTATGCCAGGCAAGTGCCCTACCACTGAGCTACTTCCTCAACCCTACTTGAAAGCTTTTGTAGTTTTGTTTTTGATCTATTTGAATTTTTTTTGTGTGTGTGTGTGTGAACAGAATAAGATAGGCATACTACCTATTTTTTTCCAAAATGAATACACAGTCATAGCAGAGTAACCTAACTTCAGTTGAAAACAATCCCCAAGTCCCAGTGACTTACCATAGTGAAGCATGAAGGCAATTGAGGAAGCTGCTCCAGATTCCAGCTTGTTCCTTCTTCAACCCATGTGGTCTTCAGAGGACGGGGGACAGGTTGGAGGAAGGCACTGAAATTGTTATGATCCTGCTTCAAAGTTTCCATTTTACTTCCATCTGTAGCCCATGGCCAGAATAGCTGCCTGGCCCACCTGGCCACTCCAGCACTGGGAAGCACAGCCCAGTGATGGGCCCTGGATAAAGGGGGGAATAACAGGATGAACCCTGATCACCTCAGCCCTACCCAAAATCTTAATCTTAATGAGATCAGTGATCCTTTTGTAAATCCCTGTGCCCATGGGGATTTTCTGCTTAGATTTCTTAATTGTTTTGTATATATGCCTTTTTAAATAACTATGATCTTATAGTATTGCTGTCTGGAAAGGCAGGTTCCACCTTTTTGTTCTGTGTGTGTGTGTGTGTGTGTGTGTGTGTGTGTGTGTGTGTGTGTGTTGCTAAAGATTGAACTCAGGGCTTTGTACACATTGAGCAAGTGCTCTACCACTGAACTATATCCCCAGGTCTTTTTTTTTATTTTTTTCATTTCTTTCTTTTTTGGGGGGCGGGGTGGTTTACAGGGGATTGAACTCAGGGGCACTCAATCACTGGGCCACATCCTCAATCCTGTTTTGTATTTTATTTAGAGACAGGGTCTCACTGAGTTGCTTAGCACCTCGCTTTGCTGAACCTGACTTTGAACTCATGATCCTCTTACCTCAGCCTCCCAAGCTACTGGGATAACAGGTGTGTGCCACTATGCCTGGCCTCATTTATTTCTTTTGGAAGGACAATACATTATCATAGTTCAAAAATACAAAGGATGTGAACATTTAAATTGAATCCAAAGCCTTCTGAAGTAGCTGTGCCAATTCATGTTTCCCTTTCCTCCTTTATGTGAGTACTGACAGGGAAGAAGGTACCAGGAAGCACATCTGGGTATCAGTTCATTTCATCTTCACCCTACTCTGTGTCACCCCATCTCTTAGATGGGGAAAGCCAAGCATGGAGGTTAAGTCACGTGCCCACATAATCTCCCCCATAGCTGATATCACTGTTGATCAATGTTGGTCATCTGGCACATCATTCCTACAGAACTTTACCTGCCTATAGAAGGGGCACAAATGGAAGCCCTTCAGTGCCCGTTAGGAGCATGTGGTAGACTGGGCCAGAAAACATAGGCAAGTAGCTATGTGCTGAGTAACATCTACAACTTTTACTATATTGAGACCAAAACCTGAAGAACAATGTCTATGTGTTAAGTACTATTGATGTTAAAAAGTCATCTTCAGGTCTTTGGATTTTTCTAAATGTACACATATGTTAACTTTCTATCACTATAACATATACTTGAGATAATCAGCTTATAAAGAGAAAAGATTTGTTTTAGCTCCTTTCCTTTTATCCTTCCTTCTTTTAGCACTGGGGATTCTCTACCGTGAACTTCACCTCCTTCTTTTTTTATTTTTATTTCAAGACAGGGTCTCAGTAAGTTGTGGAGGCTGGTTTCAAACTTGTGATCCTCCTGCCTTAGCCTCCTGAGTTGCTGGGTATACAGGCATGCATCACTGTACTTAGCTGACATTTGATTTTCTACATAGAGCAGGGGCCTAGAACCAGTATGACTCAGCCCTACTCTAAGTAGAGTTGCCATAAACATTTTTATATATATGAAATTGAGATTTAAGACTGAAGATTTTGGAGCTTTTGCCCCTGAAGCAAACATACTTTAGTTCCTTCTCTAAAGGCCATACAATGGCTGAAGTGGTAAGTGAAACCAGGATTAGAGATTGCTCTTAGAAATAGGTCCTAATGTGAGATGTGAGTTAGTGAGTCTCTGTACATTTGAAGGGTAACAGAAGAAGTAGTTTAAGATAAGAATAAGCTATGCTTCATTATAATGGTCAACCTGTGCTTTCTATGTGGAGACATTCCACTGTGAGGTGTGGAATTCTCAGCCCTCACAGAGCTGTTTCATTTTTTCAGTTTATTTCTAACTTACCTTCTCTCTCTTTTCTGTTTTCTTTTCAGACTGAAATGTCTCCCATTAAGAAGGCAGTAATTGAATTCTGCCCTGGCCTGTCCCAGTATCAGATCTCCTCCATGAAGGAAACTCATTGACTGTTCAGTTAATGTATTGTACAGATTGTATTTATATGTAAATTCCTGCTGTAAAATAATTTTTAAAACCTTGCCATTTCAAAGTCTGCCTTGAAAGGTTGTAGAAATTGATTTCTATTTTTAACTTCAGTTAGTGTCAGAGGGAAAAATTCAGACTGAACAGTTTAATTAAAGTGGCATTTTTCTATTTTCTTCTTGGGTTTTTAATTTCCTGGAATGTTAAAAAAGAAATTAAAAATGAAGACGTTCTCATAGTTTTGTTATGAAGAGAATTGAACACTCTGTAAGGTCAGTTTGGACATACTGAAGGATGTGGGTGTGTGGGGGGTGGTTCTTTGGAAGTAGAGCAGAACAGAGCCAGGGTTCTGGCTGGGGCCCTTATCTTCTCAGAGTTGGTGTCACTAAAGTGTTTAAGGTAGGCAAGGAGTCAGAGTGGGAGGATGTGCACCCACACAGCCTGAGTCATGCCTGCTCCAGGTCCTTGCCCTGGTAGCCCTTGGGTCCCTGCTCTGAGGCCAGCTCATATGTACCCACGAGGAACCTTTTCAGAAAGCAAAGTGCAGCTCAGTGGTTCAGTGCTTGCGTAACATAAAAATGTCCCTGGGTTCCAGCCCTAGCATGGTAGGAGCAGGGTGGAGAAAAAGCCAAATACATAGGTTTTTACATTATGAAATTAACCTCATAAATCAGAACAACCATAAAAGGAGAAGGAAAGGGAAAAATCAGTTCTAGTTTCACCACCCAGAGGTGACAGCGTTCAATATTTTGGACTAATTCCATCCAGTCTTTTTTAGCCATGAGGCAACTGTTACCTGACTACAGGCAGCATTTCCCTCTGACCTTGTGACAGATCTTTCCCTTAAGTCTTATAAACTGTGTGAACCCTCCCCTAACAGCTGCATGCATTCTGTCCAGGGGCCATTCCATAACTCATTGATCATTTCTCTGTCAACTGACAGACATGAAGTGGGTGAGCCCAGGAGCTCCTATGCATGCAAAGGACACAGAAATCACTCTGTGACAGGGAGCTAGGAAGACCCAAATGAGGGCACAAAGATTGGTTACTAAATTTGCATGCTCTGTCCCCTTCCTCTTATGCCCAGAGCCTGACTCCATTTTTCTAAGGGTAGCAGTGTTCTGCGGTGGGAGGAACCATTTTCACTCTGCAGGTGAGTAGGCGGCCAGCAGCTTAGCTCGTGGGTCGAACGGCCTCCTGAGGCGCGCGTGTTGCTACCGTTCTGGCCAGGCCTATGGGTGGCCACCAGCGGGTTGGGTCCAGAGATGGCTTCCAGGAGGCCAGGTTCCCCAAAACCCATAAGCAAGGACTGGAAGAGGTCGGTTCCTCCGGGAATGTACTGGCCTCTCAAGATGCCTGGGGCTACTTACGTGGCGAGAGCCAAGCGCCGTTTCAAGCTGTCCATCCCGGATATATACCACAGCCGGCTGCTGGCCTCTCTCGATCCCCTGGCCTTGGACAAGGAGGCTCCGCAGAAGCCTGTGAAACAGGAGATAATGTCAGAGGAACGGTTCTGGGGCGACCACCAGCCCCTCTCCAAGGTCAGAACCACCCCTGGGGTGAGGGGCAGTGACCTGGCCCTCATGGGTAGGGAGGGCGCGCAGGCCAGCAAGTGACTTATGGATGACCCACCTGGTTTCTCCAGCCACTGTCCTCTGCCTGTCAGCAGCATCCCTGGAGAGGAAAAGCTCAGAAACTGCTGTGGCAGGGCCAAATAGTGGAGATGCCAGGTGTCCCTGGGATTCCCAGGCCGCACCTTTCTGGGGAAACCAGGATTCTTGTGCGGAGAGGACTCTCGTCTGCCACCTACCACGGTTTGCTTATGCCCTCTGGTGGCAGATCCCATGAGTTCCCTTATCCCTGTGTTCCCATATCTTCTGAAGGCGGGGTGTCTTCTAGTCCTCCGCATCTCCACGGTCCTGCTGGTCTCCGCGCACACCGCTGAGTCACCCGCAACCCTGCCACCCACGCCCTACGCTTCCTTGGACTTAGTCTGAGCATGTCTGCTTTCCTGGAAGCGGAGCCCAAACCCCCTCATCTCATTGTTCTATCTTTTTTCACACCAGCCATTACCACGAATAATTCTAAAATGTTTCCATCACTCTCGGAGAAACCTTGTACCAGCTATCAGTCACTCCCTTTTACCACAGCTCATCCTCCCAAGCGAGGCAACCACCAATCTATTTTTCGTCTTTATAGATTCACCTATCTTAGACCTCTCATAGTAAGAGAATCAAGTGACAGGTGGTCTTTTATGAATAAAAGATTATTATTCTTTTATTTTTAAATATTTTTTATTATTATTCTTTTCCTTAGCCTAAAGTTTTAGTGGTTCATCCACATTGTAGCATGCATCTGTACTTATTTATTTTTTTTGCCAAATATTCCATTGTATGGCTGTTTTAGTCAGCTTTTTCACTGCTGTGACTGAAAGACCCGGCCAGTACAACTGTAGAAGAGGAAAAGTTTGAGGGCTCACAGTTGCAAAGGTCTCAGTCTATAGACAGCCAAGGTCCATTCCCCCAGGTTCAAGGAGAGGCTGAATATCATGGTGGAAGAATATGGCCGAGGGAAGCAGCTCACATGGTGATCAGAAAGCAGAGAGAGACTCCACTCTCCAGATACAAAATATATAACCCATAACCACAGGCTGAGTGAACCACTTGCTCCAGCCACACCCCACCTGTCTTCAGTTACCACTCAGTTAATCCCACCAGGGATTAATTCACTGTCATAGTTAAGGCTGTGACTCAATCATTTCTCCTCCAAAGCTTCTTGCATTGTCTCACACGTGAGCTTCTGGGGAACACCTCACATCCAAACTATAATATTGGCTGTGAAATTTTATTTATTCATTCATCACTTGCTGGATATCTGGGTTGTTCCCACTTAATGCATTAATAATGCTGTCATGAACATTTTTGGCACACACATTTTTTGTGTGGATATTTTCATTTCTATGGGGTCTGCACCTAGGTGTGAAATTGCTAGGTCATACTTTAATTCACAAATTTCACTTTCTGAAAAACTGCAAAATTATTTTCCAAAATAGCTGTACCACTTTGTGTTCCTGCCAGCAATGTGAGTTTTCATTTTTCCATATCCCTGGCCAACAGCTACCTTAATTAGTGTGACATGGTATCACACTATGGCTTTCATTTTCATTTCCTAATGGCTAATGATGTTGAGAGTCTCTTCATATACTATCAACTATTGGCATGTCTTTGGAGCAATGTCTGTTCAGATCTTTTGCTGTTTTTTTTTTTTCTTCTGTTCTGGGCATTGAACCCAGAGAATCATTTATGCTAGGAAAATATTGTATCACTGAGTTACATCCCTGGCTCTTTTGCCTACTTTTTATTTGTGGTGTTTGTCTTTTTATTGATGAGTTGTAAGAGTTCTTAATATATTCCAGGGCTGTGGGTATAGCTCAGTTGGTAGAGTGCTTGCCTTGCATATATAAGGCCCTGAGTTCAATCCCCAGCACCACACACACACACACACACACAAAAATAATAATAAATATTTAATTTTTTCCAGATACAAGTCCCCTATCATATATATTATTAAAAATTATTCCCAATTATGGTAGCACATTCCTGTAATCCCAGCAACTTAGGAGACTGGGGTAGAAAGATCGAAAATTCACAGCCAAACAGAACAACTAAGTGACATCTTGTCTCAAATAAAAAATAAAAGAGCTGGGGATACGACTCAATGGGAGAGTGCCTCTGGATTCAATCCCTAGTACCAAGAAATAAAACTAAAAAATTCCCATTATGTGATTTTTTTTCACTTTTTTGATGGTATGCTTTTTAAAAAACTAATTCTTTATTGATACATATTTACACTAGAATTAGAAATGTCAGTAGAAAAGTAGAATTTAGAATCATTTTGGAGAATATTGTCATTAAATATATTGTACAAAGATTTGATCATTAAAAATACAGAATGCTTCATGAATTTGCATGTCATCCTTGTGCAGGTACCATGCTAACTTCTATATTGTTCCAATTTTATTGTATGTTCTACTGAAGTGAAAGTTCTCTTTGAAATTGTGCTTCAAAGCACAATTTTTTTTCATTTTGCTAATGTCCACCCTGTTATTTTTGTTGTTATTGCTTGTGTATTGGTGTCATATCTAAGACGCTATGCCTAATGCAAAAATCATTTACACTTGTTTTCTTGTAAGAGTCATAGTTTTAACTCTTACATTTGAGTCTTTGATTCACTTTGAGATTGTTTTAATAGATGGTGTGAGGTAAAGGTCCAACCCTGTTCTTTTGCCATTTGTCTCAGCAAAAACTGCTAAAAAAGGCTTTTGTCTCTTTTTAATTGTCTTGACACCCTTATAAAAATTAAATGTTTCTTTCTGGATTCTCAGTTATATTTCATTTATTTGTAGTTCTAGATTTATGCCATTATTATGCTGTCTTGGTCAGTTGCTTGGTAGTAAGTTTTGAAATTAGAAAATGTGAGTCCTCTAGTCCTCTACATTTATTTATTTATTTATTTGTTTATTTATTTTTGTGGTGCTGGGCATTGAACCCAGGGCCTTGTGCATGCAAGGTAAGTACTCTACTAACTGAGCTATATCCCCAGCCCCTCTTTACCTTTATTCTTAAGATTGTTTTGGTTATTTGGGTTCTCCTGAATTTCTATAAAAGTTTTAGAATCAGCTTAGCAATTTCTACAAATAAGTCAGCTTAGAATTTGGATGGTGTTGAATCATTTTGGAGAATATTGTCATATTAAAAACATCACATCTGCCCATCTATGAACATGGTATGTCTTTCCATTTATTTTGATCGTCTTTAAATTCTTTCAAAAATATCTTTTTTTTCAGAGTGTAGGTTTTATATTTTCTTTGTTCAGTCAATTCTTAAATATTCTTTTTGATGATTTTACAAATATTTTTTGTTTGGAATGTTTTATTTTTTTTTAATATTGCTCATGTATTGTAGTTAGAAATATAATTGTTTTTTATATATTGACTTTGTATCCTGTAACATTTTTTTTTATGGTACTAGGGATTGAACCCAGGGGTGCTTTATCACTGAGCCACATCTTCAGCTGTTTTTATTTTTTGAGACAAGTTCTCATAAGGTGCTTAGGGCCTTGTTAAGTTGCTGAGGCTGGCTTTGAACTTGGGATCATTCTGCCTCAGCCTCCTGAGCCACGGTAATTA